AAATTAAAATGTTTGTACTTCTTTTAAAGGATTTTTTTTTTATTAATTTAAAAAAATTTGTGAAAAATTACAAATTTTTTTAAAAATCCTTGCAAATTCTACTCATAAAGGAAATTTTTTGTAAAGAAGTATTTATTAGTTTAGTTACTTAATAAACTATGTAAAATTTCTAGGTAATTTAACAAAATTTTAGCTAAAATAAAGTTTTAAAACACATTAACCAAAAAAACGCTCTCAAAATAATATTTGTAATATTTTTTAATTAATTTAAAAAATTGTTTTAGTTATTTATTTAGCACATTAAACAAAAACAAACAGTGTGTTTTGTTGACAACAAAGTTTTGTGATCACGTTCTAGAAAAAGTCATTAACCTTTTTGTTGCTGCTGTTATTAGTATTTGTATTGCTATTATTGTTTTTTTTTTATTCTTTGCTGTTTTATGAGCTCCCCCTCCTGCCAAAGAAAACATTTCTATACAAACGCAACTTTTATTTTATACTTCTAAAACTTGTTGCAAAAATAAAACAAAAGTTACACATTTCCGTGCTTTTGGCTTAAATTACTTTAGCCATAATGTCTCTTTATATTTCGCTATTTTTCTGCACTTCCATAAAAAAAGGGAATATTACACAAAACAAAAAAACATCTGTACATTTAAATAAATATGTACAAAAAACTTAGAATTGTAGGAAAAAAATCTTTATCAAAGGTAACACAGCTTAAACAAAAGAAGTTGCTTTGCTAGAGCTGGCTGGCTTAAGACAAAGTTAAGAAGTCCACACAACTAAATCATTTCATCTCTCCACACCTTTATGACACTTGAGTTGTTGTTTAAATAAAGAATTTCTGAAACACTTTTGCATCTCTCACACACTCCAGCTTAGTAGACGACGACAGCTACTGTGTGCAACTCTAGTTGCAGCAGCAATAGCAGTCAGGCTTTACAAGTCAACGCAACCCGACTTTGTAAAGGAATTGTAGAATAACTACAGACGGGGTTAGACAGTTGCATGCCACACACATTGGTTTGGTTTATTTGCCTTTAACTTAAAGTCTAATTTCTAGCTACTACCATTTTTGGTTAGCACTTTTTCTACTCTTTGCACAACATCCTGGCTGCCTAAAGGGAGTTGAAAAGTAGGAGTCATGGTTGTTGTGGAGTTTTATTTAGTTGACTTCTTGTTTATTGTTGTCATCATTGTAAATATTTCTTCTGTGTGCGTGTCAAAATGTGTAAACAGTTGTCTGTCCGTTTTGTCTGATGGCAACTTCACTAAGAGAGTTTCTGTATGACTATTTGTCAAGGTAACAAATATGTTGAAAAATAAAAATGTAACGCACTTTTTTTAAAGTCATGAATTTTAATTAAAAACAGCAGCGAAGCACTTCATCTTCATATTAACAAAGCCAACAAATACAAAACCACATTTTCAAGATTAATAAATAACAAAATGTAGACGACATGACAAAGTAAATACAAGATGAAACAATTTGAAATTGAAAAACAATTGAAAAAATATTTTAAAGAAAACTTTGATGGGAAACACAGAATCCAGAAGAGAATCAACAGACAGAACTAGACCAGAACGAGTAGAACAGAACTAGAACAGAACTAGAACAGAACTAGAACAGAACTAGAACAACTAAACAGAACTAGACAGAACTAGAACTAAACAAATAGAACTAGAACTGACAGAACTAGAACAGAACTAAACAGACTAGAACAACTAGAACTAGAAAGAACTAAACAGAACTAGAACAGAACTAGAACAAACTAGAACAGAACTAGAACAACTAGAACAGAACTAGAACAGACTAGACAACTAAACAGACTCGAACGCGAGAACAGAACTACTGAACAGAACTAACGCTAGAACAGAACTAGAACACTAACAGACTAAACAGACAGCACACAGAACAGACAGAACAACCAGACTAGAACAGAACTAGAACAGAACTAGAACAGAACTAGAACAGAACTAGAACAGAACTAAAACAGAACTAGAACAGAACTTGAACAAACTAGAACAGAACTAGAACACTAGAACAGAACTAGACAGAACTAGAACAGAACTAGAACAGAACTAGAACAGAACTAGAACTAGAACAGAACTAGGAACTAGAACAGAACTAGAACAGAACTAGAACTAGAACAGAACTAGAACAGAACTAGAACTAGAACAGATCTAGAACAGAACTAGAACAGAACTAGAACAGAACTAGAACAGAACTAGAACAGAACTAGAACAGAACTAGAACAGAACTAGAACATAACTAGAACAGAACTAGAACAGAACTAGAACAGAACTAGAACAGAACTAGAACAGAACTAGAACAGAACTAGAACAGAACTAGAACAGAACTAGAACAGAACTAGAACAGAACTAGAACAGAACTAGAACAGAACTAGAACAGAACTAGAACAGAACTAGAACAGAACTAGAACAGAACTAGAACAGAACTAGAACAGAACTAGAACAGAACTAGAACAGAACTAGAACAGAACTAGAACAGAACTAGAACAGAACTAGAACAGAACTAGAACAGAACTAGAACAGAACTAGAACAGAACTAGAACAGAACTAGAACAGAACTAGAACAGAACTAGAACAGAACTAGAACAGAACTAGAACAGAACTAGAACAAACTAGAACAGAACTAGAACAGAACAGAACTAGAACAGAATTAGAACAGAACTAGAAACGAACTAGAACTGGAACAGAACAAGAACAGAACTAGAACAGAACTGGAACAGATCTGGAACAGAACTAGAACAGAACTAGAACAGAACTAGAACAGAACTAGAACAGAACTAGAACAGAACTAGAACAGAACTAGAACAGAACTAGAACAGAACTAGAACACTAGAACAGAACTAGAACAGAACTAGAACAGAACTAGAACAGAACTAGAATAGAACTAGAACAGAACTAGAACAGAACTAGAACAGAACTAAAACAGAACTAGAACACTAGAACAGAACTAGAACAGAACTAGAACAGAACTAGAACAGAACTAGAACAGAACTAGAACAGAACTAGAACAAACTAGAATGGAACTAGAACAGAACTAGAACAGAACTAGAACAGAACTAGAACAAACAGAACAGAACAAACAGAACAGAACTAGAACAGAACTAGAACAGAACTAGAACAGAACTAGAACAGAACTAGAACAGAACTAGAACAGAACTAGAACAGAACTAGAACAGAACTAGAACAGAACTAGAACAGAACTAGAACAGAACTAGAACAGAACTAGAACAGAACTAGAACAGAACTAGAACAGAACTAGAACAGAACTAGAACAGAACTAGAACAGAACTAGAACAGAACTAGAACAGAACTAGAACAGAACTAGAACAGAACTAGAACAGAACTAGAACAGAACTAGAACAGAACTAGAACAGAACTAAACAGAACAGAACTAGAACAGAACTAGAACAGAACTAGAACAGAACTAGAACAGAACTAGAACAGAACTAGAACAGAACTAGAACAGAACTAGAACAGAACTAGAACAGAACTAGAACAGAACTAGAACAGAACTAGAACAGAACTAGAACAGAACTAGAACAGAACAAGAACAGAGCTAGAACAGAACTGGAACACAACTAGAACTGAACTAGAACTAGAACAGAACTAGAACAGAACTAGAACAGAACTAGAACAGAACTAGAACAGAACTAGAACAGAACTAGAACAGAACTAGAACAGAACTAGAACAGAACTAGAACAGAACTAGAACAGAACTAGAACAGAACTAGAACAAACTAGAACAGAACTAGAACAGAACTAGAACAGAACAAGAACAGAGCTAGAACAGAACTAGAAAGAACTAGAACAGAACTAGAACAGAACTAGAACAGAACTAGAACACAACTAGAACACAACTAGAACAGAACTAGAACAGAACTAGAACAGAACTAGAACACAACTAGAACTGAACTAGAACACAACTAGAACAGAACTAGAACAGAACTAGAACAGAACTAGAACAGAACAAGAACAGAACTAGAACAGAACTAGAACAGAACTAGAACAGAACTAGAACAGAACTAGAACAGAACTAGAACACAACTAGAACAGAACTAGAACACAACTAGAACAGAACTAGAACAGAACTAGAACAGAACTAGAACAGAACTAGAACACAACTAGAACTGAACTAGAACACAACTAGAACAGAACTAGAACAGAACTAGAACAGAACTAGAACAGAACTAGAACAGAACTAGAACAGAACAAGAACAGAGCTAGAACAGAACTAGAACAGAACTAGAACAGAACTAGAACAGAACTAGAACAGAACTAGAACACAACTAGAACAGAACTAGAACACAACTAGAACAGAACTAGAACAGAACTAGAACTGAACTAGAACAGAACTAGAACAGAACTAGAACAGAACTAGAACAGAACTAGAACAGAACTAGAACAGAACAGAACTAGAACAGAACTAAAAGAGAACTAAAAGAGAACTAGAACAGAAGTAGAATAGAAGTAGAACAGAACTAAAACAGAACTAGAACAAAACTAGAACAAACAGATTGTCGCAAATATTTTTCATTACATCTTTCTTCGTCTAAATTAAACTCTGTTGTCTTGAATGAAATTAACATAATTGTTAATAACTTTAGTTGTAATAAAATAACAAATTTTATTCTCGCTTTTATTGTCTGTGTTTGATTTGAAATGTCTTTATATGACATTTTTTACACTGAAGCTATAAATTTTATAGCTTTCACACACAAGTATCAAAAGGCTTGGCTTCAATAATGAAACTCTAAGCAAAAAGGAAGTATAAATTAAGCTGGTGTTGAAAAAAAAAAACTTTATTTGAATTTTATTGCAAATTAAGTGTTTGTTGCAATAATACTCACATAGACAAAAACCATATAAAAAAACTTAAAAACAAATTAACATAAATTATTTATAAGTATCAAGTTATTATAAAATAAATCATTATTTAATTGTATTGTTTTTCTCCATATTTACAGACAAATACCACAAGCTTACACCAAAGCCAATGGCACTGCCATACCATTACCCGCCACGGTTATGGTACAAAGACGTTGTCCCCCGGATAAAGTGAGACCTCTACCGCCCACACCAAATCATACACCCTGTAAGTAGTCTAGCACAATAACAAATGAGTCATTTAGTTGAAAATCATTTTATTCTTATTAAAAAGCTTCTTTTGAAGCTGTTGATCTCATACCTTTGAAAACCATTAATGAAGCCATAAAACATCCCTAAAGATTTAAAACAAAATGCGTCTGTTTGTCTGTATGGAAAGGTCTAAGTGACATCATCTCTAAAAAAACATCCTTGGAGATTTTGTCACATCATAAAAAAAACCCCAAAACTGACCGAGATTTCATCAAAATAATATATTAAGGGTTGTTTGAGTTTCAGTATGAGTTGGCTTGATATTTCAATTTATGAAGGGGTTAAATTTAAAAAAAGAGTTTTCTATTAGATAACAACAACATCAAGTTTATATAGTTTACAGCTTAGCAAATTTTTTGTTCTAAAGAAGGGGTCAGGGAAGGCAGGTACACTCTTTAACAATTTAAGGTTTCTTTTGATTACAAAAAAAAACTAGAACAGAACTAGAACAGAAATAGAACAGAACTAGAAGAGAACTAGAACAGAAATAGAACAGAAATAGAACAGAACTAGAACAGAACTAGAACAGAACTAGAACAGAACTAGAACAGAACTAGAACAGAACTAGAACAGAACTAGAACAGAAATAGAACAGAACTAGTACAGAACTAGAACAGAACTAGAACAGAACTAGAACAGAACTAGAACAGAACTAGAACAGAACTAGAACAGAACTAGAATAGAACTAGAATAGAACTAGAATAGAACTAGAATAGAACTAGAACAGAACTAGAACAGAACTAGAACAGAACTAGAACAGAACTAGAACAGAACTAGAACAGAACTAGAACAGAATTAGAACAGAACTAGAGCAGAACTAGAACAGAACTAGAACAGAACTAGAACAGAACTAAAATAGAACTAGACAGAACTAGAACAGAACTAGAACAGAACTAGAACAGAACTAGAACAGAACTAGAACAGAACTAGAACAGAATTAGAACCGAACTAGAGCAGAACTAGAACAGAACTAGAACAGAACTAAAATAGAACTAGAACAGAACTAGAACAGAACTAAAATAGAACTAGAACAGAACTAGAACAGAACTAGAACTGAACTAGAACAGAACTAGAACAGAACTAGAACAGAACTAGAACAGAACTAGAACAGAACTAGAACAGAACTAGAACAGAACTAGAGCAGAACTAGAGCAAAACTAGAACAGAACTAGAACAGAACTAGAACAGAACTAGAACAGAACTAGAACAGAACTAGAGCAGAACTAGAACAGAACTAGAACAGAACTAAAATAGAACTAGAACAGAACTAGAACAGAACTAAATAGAACTAGAACAGAACTAGAACAGAACTAGAACAGAACTAGAACAGAACTAGAACTGAACTAGAACAGAACTAGAACAGAACTAGAACAGAACTAGAACAGAACTAGAACAGAACTAGAACAGAACTAGAACAGAACTAGAACAGAACTAGAACAGAATTAGAACAGAACTAGAGCAGAACTAGAGCAAAACTAGAACAGAACTAGAACAGAACTAGAACAGAACTAGAACAGAACTAGAACAGAACTAGAACAGAACTAGAACAGAACTAGAACAGAACTAGAACAGAACTAGAACAGAACTAGAACAGAACTAGAACAGAACTAGAACAGAACTAGAACAGAACTAGAACAGAACTAGAACAGAACTAGAACAGAACTAGAACAGAACTAGAACAGAACTAGAACAGAACTAGAACAGAACTAAAATAGAACTAGAACAGAACTAGAACAGAACTAAAATAGAACTAGAACAGAACTAGAACAGAACTAAATAGAACTAGAACAGAACTAAAACAGAACTAGAACTGAACTAGAACAGAACTAGAACTGAACTAGAACAGAACTAGAACAGAACTAGAGCAGAACTAGAGCAAAACTAGAACAGAACTAGAACAGAACTAGAACAGAACTAGAAACAGAACTAGAACAGAACAGAATTAGAACAGAACTAGAACAGAACTAGAACAGAACTAGAACAGAACTAGAACAGAACTAGAACAGAACTAGAACAGAACTAGAACAGAACTAGAACAGAACTAGAACAGAACTAGAACAGAAACTAGAACAGAACTAGAACAGAACTAGAACAGAACTAGAACAGAACTAGAACATAACTAGAACATAACTAGAACAGAACTAGAACAGAACTAGAACAGAACTAGAACAGAACTAGAACAGAAGTAGAACAGAACTAGAACAGAACTAGAACAGAACTAGAACAGAACTAGAACAGAACTAGAACAGAACTAGAACAGAACTAGAACAGAACTAGAACAGAACTAGAACAGAACTAGAACAGAACTAGAACAGAACTAGAACAGAACTAGACAGAACTAGAACAGAACTAGAACAGAACTAGAACAGAACTAGAACAGAACTAGAACAGAACTAGAACAGAACTAGAACAGAACTAGAACAGAACTAGAACAGAACTAGAACAGAACTAGAACACAACTTGAACAGAAACTAGAACACAACTAGAACAGAACTAGAATAGAACTAGAACAGAACTAGAACAGAACTAGAACAGAACTAGAACAGAACTAGAACAGAACTAGAACAGAACTAGAACAGAACAGAACAGAACTAGAACAGAACTAGAACAGAACTAGAACAGAACTAGAACAGAAACTAGAACAGAACTAGAAACAGAACTAGAACAGAACTAGAACAGAACTAGAACAGAACTAGAAGAACTAGAACAGAACTAGAACAGAACTAGAACAGAACTAGAACAGAACTAGAACAGAACTAGAACAGAACTAGAACAGAACTAGAACAGAACTAGAACAGAACTAGAACAGAACTAGAACAGAACTAGAACAGAACTAGAACAGAACTAGCACAGAACTAGAACAGAACTAGAACAGAACTAGAACAGAACTAGAACAGAACTAGAACAGAACTAGAACAGAACTAGAACAGAACTAGAACAGAACTAGAACAGAACTGGAACAGATATAGGGCTAGTCTAGTCCATTGTCCACTCTATAGTGTAGTCTAAATTCTAGTCTCTACCTTTTAGTCCAGTCTAAAGTATAAAATTATTCTATCAGTCAGAGTTAATTGCTTTGGCTATGTATGGCTTTCTAATGGCGTTAATATTTAACCAATTTTTCTAGGAAATCCAGGAATAACTTCCTTATATGTCTAGTGTTTCTTTTAAACGGTCTTTTCATATAAAATATTCCCTTCAATTTATTTTTCACCATTTAATTTTTTTTTAAGTAGGAAAATATAATTCTTTTTGTTGACTTTTGCCTGCCACATGTTGTCTTATTGTTTGTTTCTTCCTTGTTTTCTTGCTGTTGTTGAAAGTATGTACAACTTTCAACATATCACAAAACATAATTAATTGCATTTAATGCTAAATCAAACTGGGAATTTTATTTATTGCAACACGAAAAATAAAATTATTTTTTTAAGCTTATGCCTCATGAGTAATTTTTTTGTTTTGTTGGAGCGCAACAGATTTTAAACTGTGTAGGCGCACGTGTAAAGGAACATTAATTAAAACATATTTTAGTTATTCACAAAATGTACAATGAAATCCGCTAATAAGGTAAAAAAGATTAAGTCAAGATATGAAGTAACAAGGAAATAAATAATGTTTAGTTTTAATCATAAGAAAAGGCATTGAAAAGTTCAAATGGGCTTAAGAAGGTTGGTACAACTTGATTAAATTTGCTAATTGGGTTTCTTCTTCTTTCATTACAGCCATACCTGGTTTAGGCAAAAGTGGCAGCGAGTTCAATAGCAGCCGTCCCAATAGTCCACCCTCCAGTAATCACAGTGTACAAAGTTTAAAAAGTGGCAATAATAATGGACTACGACCACCTAGTATTAAGTCGGGTATACCGGCACCTGGAACCACCATTACACCCACCGCTAATGGCCAACAGAAACACTCCATGTTGGATAAACTCAAGCTGTTTAATAAGGAGAAATCCTCTCAACAGCAGCAGCAACAACAAACCACCTTAAATCAAACCAATAAAAATCAAATGCAATCGAAAAGAACCTCCTCTTCATCGGGTTTCTCATCGGCTAGATCAGAAAGATCTGATTCCAGCTTGAGTCTTAATGATGGTCATATATCGCAAATCAAACCACCCACAGTTTCGCTCACATCGGCCAGTAACAAGCGGGCGGACGCGAAAGGTAAACAGTCCAGCCTGCTAAAGCAACAAACCAAAAAGGAACAAGTGAAAAATTCCAGTAAATTAGATAAAAAGAAAAAAGTCCCGCCCGATCTTTGCATAAAGAAGAGTCAGGTATGGAGAGTAGATCGTCCACCTTGAATAGAAGTAAAAATTCTTTATCGCGCACAGGATTAAGTAATGACAAATCAAAGACCTCTAGTAGAACTTCCCTAAACAATAAATCGGAATCGAAGACATCATTAATAATGCCTCCGTCTAAGGCCTTAAATAGTCCCAATGGTACCGCTTTACCCAAACCTATAGCGGCCATTAAGGGCACCAGTAAACTGCAAACAGCAGCTGACAATAAAACACGCCTCAGCAATTCCAATTCTTCACAAGACATTATGATGAAAAGAGAAAAGAGTGACATATCAAACGCACAACAGCAACATCATCATCACATATCGAATCATGCAGCAACTGCAACCAACAATTTACAGCAACAACAACAACAACCACCACCCACACATATCGTTAAACCTGTCAACATGTTGCAGGAAACACAAACCCATAAACCTCCCTACTATGCCAATACAACACAACAGCAGCAACATTTAATGCAGCAGCAACAACAACAACTTTCAACACCTATTCAAGAGCCTACCTACAGCCGTTTGCCTCCTCCTAAAACAGGTTTAGGCACTCCCTCCTCTGTAAGAAAATTGGAATATAATTCCGGCCCCGGTGTACTGCAGCCTCAACAGCATTCTCCTCTTAGAACACTAACTGCACCAGCTGCTACACATTCCCAACCGGTTACGCCCACTACACAACCGCCCTCTTCGCTCAACAATACAGCAGCTAATAAATTCCATACCATACCCTCTAAAATAGTGGGTACTATCTATGAAGAAGATAAACCGGTAAATGTACAACCCATGCGTCCTCTTTTAAGAGGTTATAACTCTCATGTTACCCTACCCACTCGAGGCTCACGTGGCACACATCACTATGTCTCGGAATTTTCCGAGAATGACATCAGTCAAGGCTATTGTAGTGATGGTGATTCTTTAAGATTTAGCAGCTCACGCATGGGTGGCCATCAGTCGCCTTTGCAGGGTTCACCACGTTTTCATGACATCGATAATGGTTATCTATCAGAAGGTAGCAGTGGCATTGGACTACAACAGAATGGTCATGGTAAACATTTCTTAAGTATGATGCGTGCCCGTACTCAACTGCCGACGACCATTGAAGAAAGGTAAGTGTCAATAAACTTGATTCTTTGGCAACATGTATTCCCAGCCATAACCAAAAAAAAAACAGGTTCTTTTTTCTGCGAAATGAATCATTTTATGAGCATGAAAAAGAAACCCTTTCCTGCCACAAGCAGCGATGGCTAAGAATGTAAAGAAATTTTCAAATGATTCATCCATCAAGAAGTTAAATTGATTGTTTGAGGAATTTTGTTTTTGTGCAGAGAAACTAAAAGACAGAGGTTCTTAAATTAGTTTTTAAAATTTCAAAAGGAAAAAATCTTCAGACACTAAACTAGTCTTTAAAGTAGCTGAAACACTAGTCTGTGGAGTAGACGTTAGTTTAGTCTTTAGAGTAGACGTTAGTCTAGTCTTTAGAGTAGACGTTAGTCTAGTCTTTAGAGTAGACGTTAGTCTAGTCTTTAGAGTAGACGTTAGTCTAGTCTTTAGAGTAGACGTTAGTCTAGTCTTTAGAGTAGACGTTAGTCTAGTCTTTAGAGTAGACGTTAGTCTAGTCTTTAGAGTAGACGTTAGTCTAGTCTTTAGAGTAGACGTTAGTCTAGTCTTTAGAGTAGACGTTAGTCTAGTCTTTAGAGTAGACGTTAGTCTAGTCTTTAGAGTAGACGTTAGTCTAGTCTTTAGAGTAGACGTTAGTCTAGTCTTTAGAGTAGACGTTAGTCTAGTCTTTAGAGTAGACGTTAGTCTAGTCTTTAGAGTAGACGTTAGTCTAGTCTTTAGAGTAGACGTTAGTCTAGTCTTTAGAGTAGACGTTAGTCTAGTCTTTAGAGTAGACGTTAGTCTAGTCTTTAGAGTAGACGTTAGTCTAGTCTTTAGAGTAGACGTTAGTCTAGTCTTTAGAGTAGACGTTAGTCTAGTCTTTAGAGTAGACGTTAGTCTAGTCTTTAGAGTAGTCGTTAGTCTAGTCTTTAGAGTAGACGTTAGTCTAGTCTTTAGAGTAGACGTTAGTCTAGTCTAGTCAGAGTAGACGTTAGTCTAGTCTTTAGAGTAGACGTTAGTCTAGTCTTTAGAGTAGACGTTAGTCTAGTCTCTAGAGTAGACGTTAGTCTAGTCTTTAGAGTATACGTTAGTCTAGTCTTTAGAGTAGACGTTAGTCTAGTCTTTAGAGTAGACGTTAGTCTAGTCTTTAGAGTAGACATAAGTTCTGTTCTAGTTCTGTTCTAGTTCTGTTCTAGTTCTGTTCTAGTTCTGTTCTAGTTCTGTTCTAGTTCTGTTCTAGTTCTGTTCTAGTTCTGTTCTAGTTCTGTTCTAGTTCTGTTCTAGTTCTGTTCTAGTTCTGTTCTAGTTCTGTTCTAGTTCTGTTCTAGTTCCGTTCTAGTTCTGTTCTAGTTCTGTTCTTGTTCTGTTCTAGTTCTGTTCTGTTCTAGTTCTGTTCTAGTTCTGTTCTAGTTCTGTTCTAGTTCTGTTCTAGTTCTGTTCTAGTTCTGTTCTAGTTCTGTTCTAGTTCTGTTCTAGTTCTGTTCTAGTTCTGTTCTAGTTCTGTTCTAGTTCTGTTCTAGTTCTGTTCTAGTTCTGTTCTAGTTCTGTTCTAGTTCTGTTCTAGTTCTGTTCTAGTTCTGTTCTAGTTCTGTTCTAGTTCTGTTCTAGTTCTGTTCTAGTTCTGTTCTAGTTCTGTTCTAGTTCTGTTCTAGTTCTGTTCTAGTTCTGTTCTAGTTCTGTTCTAGTTCTGTTCTAGTTCTGTTCTAGTTCTGTTCTAGTTCTGTTCTAGTTCTGTTCTAGTTCTGTTCTAGTTCTGTTCTAGTTCTGTTCTAGTTCTGTTCTAGTTCTGTTCTAGTTCTGTTCTAGTTCTGTTCTAGTTCTGTTCTAGTTCTGTTCTAGTTCTGTTCTAGTTCTGTTCTAGTTCTGTTCTAGTTCTGTTCTAGTTCTTTCTGTTCTAGTTCTGTTCTAGTTCTGTTCTAGTTCTGTTCTAGTTCTGTTCAAGTTCTCTTCAAGTTCTGTTCTAGTTCTGCTCTAATTCTGTTCTAGTTCTGTTCTACTTCTCTTCTATTTCTGTTTTAGTTGTGTTTAAGTTCTGTGATTTGAGAACTTCTGCTTTTTTTGTTTACAATTCAATCTTATTGTTGCGTTTAAATAATATTTCATTTACTTTTTTCTTTCTTTATTGAGAATCCCCTTGATTTCTTTGAATTGTGTTAAGTTTCTTGTAGTAAAGACGTTTTTACATTTTTTTATTGTTGTCACTTAAAGTGTTTCTTTTGATTTCATGGTTGTTAGTAGCAATTTTTATATAGCACGCATTCTAATTGTGTCATTGTGGCATACAATTTAATTAACTGGAACTCTTAAATTTGGCCCTACATATAAAAAAAAAACGACAACAACACACACATGTCTTTATTTTGTGCATATGTTCAAACTTAAGCAGCCATGAAGTTGTGTAGTGGGTTACATTCGCTTTAGCAGTAAAAGTAAAAAGAAATTTTTTTATTAGTCATCTTAAAGGCTGCTAATGTTGAAGAATGAGAAGAAATTGTTACAGTATTGGGGCTATAGTGATGTTAATACTTATAAAAAGACGCTGATAAATATGGCAAAAATTCTTTCCAAAATTTTAATAAAAAATTATGATTATTGAACTAAAATTTTATTTAAATTTGTATTATTATATTGGACTTACTAAAGCTATAATTGAGTTTATGGTGTTGGCTTTGTAAAACATTTTATTTTATTTAAAAAGCTTTATTAGTTTGCAAGTTATGGGCTCTTATAGGAAAAATGTCATAATTAATATCAATCATACGCTGTGTTGTACAATTTTTTTTATTTTTTCTTTATTTGCTTGTTGAACTAGATTTTTGCAAAGATTTTTTTGCTTAAGGAATCTTTAAGGCAAAATGTATTATTTGAGATACTTTGATAAGAAGTTTTTTCTTTTTTTCCTTTAGTTTTTCTGCTTTTACTTTGTAAACAAAAAAATTCCCTTTTTCAAGTTAACTAGATTTCCGAATGATTTTATCTAAAGTTTTATTTATGTGTTAGATGTTGTTTTTAGTATATGTTTTAGTTCGTTTTTTTTTCTTTAGTTTAATAGCTCTCAATTTGCATTTTAACTACTTTAGATAAGAAGTGTCAAATTTGCACTTAAGAAAATTGTTCCTTTGAATAGTAACAAATTTGCTACTTTTTTTTTCCTTTTAACAGCATTTTCTTTTTACTGGAAAGTTTGAATTTTTTTCTATTTTTTTCCATTTTGCCTAAATTTCCTTTTTTTTTGAACTTTTTAAGTTACGTGTTTGTGCATTAATTTTGTTAGATCAGACGTGTTGATTTTGTATGCTAATGAAAATGAATTTGTTAAAATGTTTGGTAAATGTTTTGTATGAAAGGCTAAATGAAAACAAATTGAGCTTAAATTGTATTAAATTTGTAATAATGTTGATGTATTTTTTGTTTGCCTTTTAATTAAGTAAGTGAAATTTTATTACTTTTTTTTCAAAGGAAAGGATTAACTTCCTTATTCATAAACATTTATCAAAGGTTTATAGTACAAAATTTGTATGAAAATTTGATTTATAAACCTTTGATAAAAGTTTATGAATAAGACCCTTAAAATATTTTAAAATTAATTATAGGCTTTATTTGTTTTTGCTTTTTGCTCTTTAAATAATTTATAGCAAAATTTTTTGTTCAAAAATATTTTTTTCATTTTGGTTTTAAATTTTTTTAAAATTTTATTTTACTTTGATATAGATATAGCCTTAAGTCTTGGCTTTTAATAACATTTTGAATTTCTTTTCTATCTTTTTTAGTTTAGCAGTTATGGTCGTTTTTAGCAAAAAAGTCCGAATTAATATCAATCATACGTCCTGTATGAAAATTTTATATTTTTCTTCATAACTTAATGAGTTTAAAAGATTTTAAGGAAATTTTTAAGCAAAATTATAGTTAAATAAATATATTTTTTATATCTTAAGCATTTTTTTAAATGTTGGCTTAATTTCACGTTTTTTCTTAAAGAACAGTTGGGCACAGCATGAGTTCTAAGGTCTGTTACAGACAAAATAACTGTTTCTGAAGCTTTTGTCTAAGAAAAAATATTAAAACACCAAGAAATGCGTAACAGCTAAAGATTTTAAAAGGAAAAAGACTATTGAAATACATAACGTAACGTAACGGAAACGGATGTTTTTATAAGAAAAACATGTATTTCGTAGCATAAATCAAGGGATATGTTGCATTTTCTTAGCTACACACAACCTTCATACTAAGAAGAGAACAAAAAATAAACATTAAGACACATAACAGGATTATTTTAATAAACTGAAAAGGAAAAGAAAGGATATGAAAGAGAAAATAGTATCACAGTTTAAAGTCTACAACAAATTCAACTGACCCCAGACAGTGGCTGGGGACAATAACATCTAAGAATAAGTGTCTGGTATTTAAAACCATTTCTCTTCATTTACATGAGCTGAAAGAAACCCTGACATAACTACAGACTAACAGAGTCCTTGGAAAAAACACAATTTTCACATTTTCCTTTAGATAAGAAGGTTATTATTTATTAGGTGTATTTTATACCAACATATTATTGGCCTTAAAGAAATGTAATCAACAGTTAAAATACGGCAAAAAAACTATTAAATAAATCATGTTTTTAAACTTAATAAAGGTCCTTTCTCTCTGTCCATCCATCCTTCCATCCGTCCGTCCGTCCGTCCGTCCGTCCGTCCGTCCATTCTTCTTCTATGGTAAATACCATTTGATTTTTATCAAGGTATTAGTTAGAGTTTCTTCCTTTACTGATTTCCTTATGGTTAAAATTCAATTACCTGGTCTTTTTCGTTAGAAATAACATACTCTAAACCAATAGACAACAGATAGATAGATAGTACAAGACATCAAATCGTTGTAAGTATAAAACGTGTTAGAATTTCAAATTACAACACAAATGCAGAATAATAAACATAAGCTAGAGATAAAATTTATAGCATACGTTTGGGGATTTAGTATAAAAGTAAAGTAATTTAAAAGCAAAAGCCTTGTT